CAAGACCTGGGTACAAATCAATGTCCCACGCTGGCTGAGTGCAATGGTGGCACTTTAACGTATTTCTTCATTATTTTGTGCTACCTTAATATTCTAGTATTCAGGCTCCCCTAAAAGCAGAGTCTCCACTAAAAGGCTATTTTTTTTTTCTTTCAGTTTTTGGCCAGGGCTGGGTTTGAACCTACCACCTCTGGTATACGGGGCCAATGCCCTACTCCTTTGAGCCACAGGCGCCGCCCCTAAAAGGCTATTTCATGGGATTCAGCAGTTGGGAGGTGAAAAGCCGAGGTGGAGTCAAGGTAAGGGGTTGTAAAGGTGAAAAGACCTTCTCAGAGTCAGGAGTCAGTGCTCAGAAGCAGCATCTCACCCAGTAGAGAGGACGTGATAGTCAAGGTTCAGTTTTCTCCGTGTGTGAGGTGGCTCACATAACTGACCACATAACTGACCACGCCTATTCAGATCTAGCTTCCCTGGGAATTAGGTTTTGAGGAACAACAGAATCAGAATAAGGCCTTTAGGGATAAAGCTGAAGAACTCCCTTCCGCTGGAGTCACTGTTACCCAGACCTCCCTACGCTACCCCACATCTAAACTTGAGAAAAATAAAACTTCTTTCAACAACAATGACAACAAAACCCTGTTGCTGTTTGCCCCCACTGACTTCCTTGGAATCTGGCTAAAGCAGAGGAGGACACGAGAAGAAAGATCCTGAGACTCAGATATTGCTCGATGAGGCTCAGAGACGGAGCACTCTCACCAGCGTAATCTCACAGGCCTTTTACTGTGTTTCAACAACATTTACAATGTAGCATTAGCTGATTGATCATGATTATTTAGGAGTCAAGGAAACTCTGTCCCCGCATGTGATGTATGGGAGGTCTTGCATAAGACCTAAGGGGATGGAGCCTGCAAAGGGTCCAGGTTAGAATTAACTTTTGAAAGGGGGGTAGATGTTAATTACCTTTGAACCTATACTGCTGCTCACAGCCAGCCCAAACGGCTGCTTCTTAATCTAATCTTTTAACTTGTTCGAAACTGGTTAAGCGTTTCATTCCAAGACAAGACAAGAAGACAGGTTCTTGCCGTTTGTCTTCCTTATAAATGCTAAACTGCTTTTTCCCTTTATAGTTTTTCCAGCCTGTCCCCACAAAACCCCATGCTGATTTTCCTCTAATTTGCTATTGTCTTTCTTCTTCCTAGTCTTCACATTTCTTCTTTCTTATTTGGCAGGACAGCACCTAAAGTTTCCGGAGTGGTGTTTACCCAAGTCATTTAAGTGGTGGTAGTGGGGAAATCAAAGAAGGAAAGACGGAGAAGCCACCGATGGGCACTTTTGAAAATTATAACAAATTCTATATAATACAGCTAGGTCAGGCAATAGAGTGTTTGGATTGTAATAACTGCCAATTTTTAAATAATTTTACATTAACATGGTAATATCTCAGTTCATGGCAGTTCTACTATCTATAAACTTTAATTGTTCCTCGGTGATTCCCAAGTCCTCTGTCAAGTCTTGACATAGGTAAGATCTGAGATACTGTACACTAATTAAACAGCCTTGGTGTTTGGGGGTTTTAAGGGTGGGAGGTTGAGAGTAAAAGGAACATGTTTGTGATCATAAAAATGGAATAACACTGGTACGTAAATTGGTTAAAAATTATTATGATTCCATATATAAACCTAAAACATTTAAATTACTTTCATTTGGAACTTTAGAAAATATCCCAACTTTTCAATTTGGAAGATGGGGACAGGGATACAGAGGAAATGAGAAATACTAAAAATGTCGTGGGCTTTCAGAAAACTGCTTTTCATGATTTTACTTGCACGTCAAAGTCACAGGTAGGTACAGAGAATAAAGAACGGAAATGCACCTCACAGAGGGCATTGTTCTTCCAAAAGAAAAATGACTCCCGCGTACAGCTATCAGTTTTTTCTGCTTTTATTCTGACGTAATTAAAGCATGAGGGTTGGAACGCTTTCAGTAAAAGTAAACTGAAATGCTTTGAATTTAATGAGGGATTACACTATTTTCCAGGAAATCCTTAGAAATCCTGCCAGAAAAGAAAAGGAAGCAAACTATTTTACTTCAGCCAGATTCACAGTGAACGGGAGCCTGAGTTTCTTTTTTTTTCTTTCTAAGTTGTAAGAGGAAGCTTCCTTCATAACGTGACAGTGGGATACTGTATTCCCTCAGCCCAACTTCCTGATGAATAATGTTATCTGAGTGCTCCGTAAGTTCCAATTTGCTCCGGTTTTGCAGTATGTGGAAGTGTGACGCTGAACAGAGAGCGCATGAAGGGATCACTGTTAACTCCTTCCGGTATCAAACCTCACAAACTTGTGTGGCTCTCCTCTGTGTCGTTGTTGGGGCTTTTATGTAAGGGCACTTAGCATGAGGAGACTCAGACAGGCAGCCAGATTCAGAAGAAATAATGGTTCTGATGCCGAGAACTGCGTGAGTTAAGACATCTGAAGAGTGAAGAGGAGAAAGGGATAGATAGCTTCCCCATGTTACATGAAATTCTAAGCATAACCACCTCCGAAAGGATCTTGGAGAAACCGGGATCACATTGCGATTGTTTACATACCTCCAAATGGAAATCACAATTTTAACTATTCAGATGTAGTAGGGAGGGACAAAGTATTCCCCAAAGGGAAAGGCAGAGAATGGTCGATGGGTATCACTGTGCACAAACCACTGCTGGTAAGGTCTTCTGGTATGTTAGATGCAATTTTGCTTTCTTTTAAATGATTAGGTTAGGTTATAATGCCTAAGAAAGTGGAGTACTATTGTAAATGCATAAATTAACAAAATCTCTTAGAAGTCACCTGGCCAAATTGTCTTTAAATCACTTCAAGATGAGATTTGAGATTCATATCACGGGAGGGACTTGAGACATTTGATTGGAAAATACTTTCAAATTTTCTCTTTGCAATTAAGTTATCACATACTTCACCCCCTCCCAAAATCCCATGAGGAAACTGAGTTTTAGCTACTGAAAATCCTATGATTAAAAAAATTAATAAAGTCTTTGTAATGAAACACTTGATAGGCGGATAAACCATCAACATTGTGTATTACGAAACACATATTTTTTTTTTTGAGACAGAGTCTTATTATGTTGCCCTTGGTAGAGTGCCATGGCATTATAGCTCACAGCAACCTCAAACTTTTGGGTTTAAGCGATTCTCTTGCCTCAGCCTCCCAAGTAGCTGGGACTACAGGTGCCTGCCACAATGCCCAGCTATTTTTTGTTGCAGTTGTCATTGCTGTTTAGCTGACCTGGGCTGGGTATGGATCCACCAGCCTCGGTGTACATGGCTGGCACCATAACCACTGTGCTACAGGCATTGAGCCTATGAAACATATTTTTAAAAACTCAAAAATCACATACACTGAATGAATAAAGCTAAACTTGTGGTTGTGATTTGGTTTTGAGTTGTTATCATCTTTCAGATAAGAATGGCCACCTCACAGATGAAGAGGCCAACTGAATCCACCAGCCTGTTAGGTCAGAGAGAATGTCTGAACATCTCAGGTTCAGCTGCTCCAACCAATACCACAATGTGCACTAGAGGTTGGAAGTCATACGTATTGTTTCTGATAGATATCACCTACTTCGTCTGATCACTGTAAAACTGTCTTTCAAAATAACAAAGATAATTTTAAGTTGGTATTAGAGAAAATTCTATTGAGCATTTGTTTCTCATACCAGTTGCCCTCTCTTTATATGCTCAGGTGTATTTCCCTACAATAGACAAAGTATTGCTGTATGGCAGCTTTTAGCACATTCACGTCTCAGTGGACGGATCAGTAAATTGAAATTTACTGAAGGGCCTAATTTCTTTTTCTTTCTTTCTTTTTTTCTTGAGACAGAGTCTCAAGCTGTCACCCTGGGTAGAGTGCCATCATGTCATAGCTCACAGCAATCTCAAACGCTTGGGCTTATGCGATTCTCTTGCCTCAGCCTCTCGAGTAGCTGTGACTACTGGTGTCTGTCACAACACCTGGCTATTTTTGTTATTGTTGTTGTTGTAGTTGTCATTGTTGTTTTAGCTGGACTGAGCCAGGTTCGAACCCCCCAGCCTCAATGTATGTGGCCAGCACCCTAAGCACTGAGCTATAGTTCCACCCTGAAGGGCCTAATTTCTAATGCAAATCCTGGTAAAAAAAGATAACTGTTTTCTAAATGGAACCAATGGATGGAATCCATTATCCATGGAATCAATGAGATGAGGTTATGGTCCAAGGAGTTCTTTGCTTTTGATGGCTGTATGTTTGACATTGCAACACATATACAGTTTTAACTCATTTTTGCTCATTTTGTTTACTGTGTGTAAATATATACATCTTCAGATTAACAATACTATACTCAGGTTTTCTACACCCAGGCACGCTTTGTTGCATTTTGACATTAATTTGATTACAACATGCAATTTATGACACCTGGGACTACAACATGTTAGACGTTAAACACAGTTCTACCTGGTAGCTACTACTTCTTGGGTAAGGACTAATTTTGGTTCCTATACCAGACAATGGTTTGATTCTTCAATTTCACAGACAACTTCACAGCAACAACACACAAAGCCTAAGCATGTTTTCGGTTAGCCTATAGTCTAAAAAATCTACTCCCAGGTAAAAGCATGGTTCTCCCATACTGTCTAGCCACAGAAGCAAGCCGTTTCTATCTGGCAGAGCAGGATGCTGCCTGAGAAGGGAATCCTTCTTTCTTGTGAAACTAAACCACACATAAAACATCTATGGTGTCCTGCGCTGTCAGAGAACTGTGTACCTGAAGCATCTGCTTCAAGGAGATTTTCTTAGGTTGTTTTCCAACCGTGGGCTCCATCCAAACTTCAGGCTAACCTTGTACTACACATAGAGTCAGATTCCACCAGACACAAACATGTATTCTGAGTAGAAGTCAATGTCTGGCAAGTGTTGTGTTTTGTTACCTTATCAACAAGCATTTTACAAAGCATGATGCATGGATGGCTATTCATCCATGCCAGTATGTGTGAGCGTACAAGGGCTTCCAGAAACCTTGATGGAGAGAAAAAAATCAATTATTTCTCTCCCTAATAGTAGCCAGCTCTTGCCGACTATTCATCTTACGTGTGATGATGACTAATATTCGTCGAATGGCAAGGAGACGCTCTTTCAGGGAGCTCATGCCGAGGATAGCCAGCTGCGCCTTACGTTCCAGTGGCAACACCGCTAGGATCCACCAGGACCAGGCGGGACCACTAGGATTACTCTGCAAAAGAGATAAAGGGAGAACTAGAGGAATGCTCACAACACAGACCTGTTCCCACCCATAGTCTTTTGTTAGACCAACGGACAGGTGAACAAGAATTAAATGCCACCTTCTAATTTGGGGCTACTTCAGAATTCATCCAGCTTTCAAAATACATAGTTGACTTTTCTGTTACACATATATTTATTTATTTATTTTTTAGAGACAGAGTCTCACTTTACCACCCTTGGTAGAGTGCCATGTTGTCACAGCTCACAGCAACCTCCAACTCCTGGGCTTAGGCAATTCTCTTGCCTCAGCCTCCCGAGTAGCTGGGACAACTGGAACCTGCCACAACACCCAGCTATTTTTGTTGCAGTTTGGCCAGGGCTAGGTTCAAACCCGCCACCCTCGGTATATGGAAACAGTGCCTTACCCACTGAGCCACAGGCACCGCCCTATGTGACACATTTAAAAGTGGGGGAACTCACAAAATTACTCCCTCAAGAAGATGCTTTTCTCTGCATGCTAGCAAAGCCCAAGAGTGTGCAGAGGAAAGGCTCTTCCATGGGAAAATCTATGAATGAGTTGCTTCTGCTCTCTCAGCTCTTCAGTTACGGGCATGCACCAGTCAGCAGAGAAGACCGTGGCTTTCACCTCCACTCGCCAATGTTCTGCGCTATTGCTTTTAAGTCTTAAGCATGTTCTATCTTTGGCATAATGCCATAATGTCTAAAAGTATGTATACATGTTTGGGTGGCATAATAAAACTCGTAACAGAGTCAATGTGGCAGATTATATATGTATAAAGCATATACATGTATACACATTGTATGTTGGCATTACTGTGCATTACATACACAAGAATTATTATGCTGCTAAATAGCCTTTCACTTAACCAAACAGGCACATCTGGATTGAGCTTTAAGCAAAAGTGATCATAAACTAGTTCTCAATGTTCCTGGTACCAGAACTGTGACAGCTAGGCCTTCTGGCTTCTAGGGCCTGGGATCTCCTGGGTCTTGGATTCTCCTTCATTCCTACCCCAAATGTGTGCAAAGTACCAACTGGGAACTAGGGAGGGTGATGATACTGGAGGGTGTGGAATGACACAGTCGCCAGAACTCTCAGGGGACAGCCCAGGTCACTGTGAGGAAGACAAAGACCTGCCCTTCAGGGAAGAAAGGCGCGGCTATTAGAGAAAGCAGCCTTCTGTTCAGACTCCCCTTCTCCTGCCCCATCTTACACTCAGGGAAAAAATACTGAGTAGCGTGCTTATTGGGAATCACCTCATATAAAACATTTCCCACACACCTAAAAATCCCTCTGTGATCAGCAGGAAAATGGTCCACCAAAAGATGTCCACACCTTAATTCCTGAAAACTGCAAACAAGGTCCCTTGTATGTCACAAGGGACGTGGGACATATGACTAAGTTAAGGACCTTGAGATAAAAAGATTATCCTGGTGGGCCCAAGGTGATGATCAGAGGGAGATGTGACAGTGGAATGATGGTTAGAGAGATGTGATGCTGTGGGCTTTGATGGAGGGAGGGCAGCAGGAGCCACGGAACGCTATAAGCCTTAGCAGCTGGAAAATGCAAGGAGACAGACTCTTCCCTACAACCTCCAGAAGGGAACACACTCCACTATCACCTTGATCACAGCCCGGTGAGACCTGTGTGGGACTTCTGACCTACAGAATTGTAAGACAATAAACTGATGTTGTTTCCAGCCACTATGCTTCTGCTAAGAGAAAGCTAATACAACTATCCGTTAGAGATTAATTTGGGTTAATAAGCAAAAACTCCTAGTAAAATGCATGACTGTACCCTAATGCAAGCTAATTTAATCTCCTTGCCTTCTGAGTCTGAGCTAGAGTTCAGTGTAGACAGAGGGCACATAAGAGAGGAGAAGATCAGGAGGATTTACTAGCAATTTTTGGCATTTAAAGCATTTTTTTTTTGACTTTGGAAAAGATAGAAAAAACTCAGACAAAAGCTAAAAGCCCTCGAGAGAGGAAAAGAGGACAGAAATAGATGGAGGAAGGCACAAAAACCATTTCCCCTTACCCTAAACCTGTTGAGAGCTGGTCCTCTCCTCCCCTTCTCTAAGAGAGCTGTGTGCCCGTGCACAGGAAGGAGGAACTATCCCATGCACACGCTGAGTCACCATCCTAAACCCTCCTAGCCTGGCTCTCTCACCCGAATGTGGAGGAGAAGAGTCACCTGTGCTTTGAAATGCTCCACAGGCCTGAAGCCATTCATTGCTTAAACAACCAGCTTTGCCTAAAGCACTCCTAGGGAGGACCAGAGAAAGCCCCTGATGCCCAGGTGGCAGGGGACCACGAGGGACAAGAAAGTAATGCTATGCTAACGATGGAGCAAGAATTGCGGGATTTTCTCTTCATTTACCCAACATCTGTTTATTAAGCACAAGGCAATGTTACGCGCAAAACAGGTAGTGCTCATGTCAATGGGATAAAATTACTATTTAAATCTCACGGGGTTGGTGAGAGATGCAGAAAGTACAAAAACTGAGAGCCAGGCAGAATAAGTTGATTTGCGTTACAAAAGAGATTATCTTTGTGTGCTGTCAGAAAGCCTTCAGTGTTCTGCCTCAAGAGGCACCTGCTGCCAGATTCGGTGCTTCGTGGGGCTGTTAATAAATGAACTGGTTTGTAAGCAGTCACAAGGGCGTGCACTGCCACACTTTCCATCAGAATTACACGTCTTAGCACGCTTCAGCAGCAAACAGTAACATTATAAAAGAAAGAGCAGACTGTACCTGAGGCTCAGGCTCCCTGTCCGGCATTAACCCAAAATGACTTAGAATCTGCTCTTTCATGTGATCCTGGAGAGACGCAAACCAGGAGACAGACTGTTCGTAAACGGAATCGTGAAGTGTGGTGAGTTCTTCATACTCTGGACCTTCCACCTGATCAAGGGAAAAGGCACAACTATTTTAGCAACTCACGAGTATCCATGAAACGCAGTGACCTCTGCACTTCTGAGAAGCAGATTCGTGGCATGCATTACTTCAGTAACTCATTACTGCTGCTGAAAGTAATATATGGACAACACAGAAAACCACACTTTTTTATTTACTTGAGATTTACCTATTGTAACCCAATTTCCCCCCTTCACATTAGACTATAAGCACATACTCCATGTTACTATAAATAATTTTCAATGGCTAAATCAATTATATATAGACTTGAGATTTGGAGATTTAATTAACCATTCACGTGAGACATATTTTTTACATATCTTATGTGAAACTTTTTTATTTTTGAAAATAACACAGTTATATTACTTACTAAATAAATATGCACAGTATTCATGCAAAAGTTGTATGCTTTTTTTAGGCAAGGGAAGGAGGTTTATTATTTCCTCAGGATTGTTTCCTAGAAACCTCGGTAGAATTGCCAAGTTTAAAAGTCTGACCTTTCAAAAACTGTATTCTATACCAAACTATCCAAAAGACATACCACGTCACGAGGCATCCATTACATTCACCTATGCTGATGGACCCCAGCTAGTGGCTGTCTGGAGGACACTTTGGCCTCTGGTCCCTAAATTGCTGTCAAGTCTGTCATGTAAATTGTGCCTCTGTCCTACTTAGAACACCCGGTAAAGTATGACGTGCACTGAACTGGGAGTCAGGACACCTAGGTTTGTGCCGCCTTCATCACTGACTCCCATGTGTGAATTTTAGTCAGTCTTGTGGCCCAATTAGGATAGTTTTCTCATCTGTAAAATGGGAACAACTCATTAAGGTCCTTTCTAGTTATAATATGTAGTACCTATGGAAACTAGGAGATACTAAGGAATGACACTGTAATGCCTATAACCATCCTCAATTCGGTTTACACCAAATCAAATATTCATATAGAGGATTTTCTTCTAAAAACTAGCTAAAATGATTTCATGTTGTAGCTATTTAATTTCCAAATAAATATAAACACCATCAAAAGCTGTCACCTACAACAATAGTCAATAAACCCTGTCATCAGATCTGCTATCAACTTGACCACCATCTCTTTCGGCCACAGCAGTAAGACCTGGCTCTCTGGTCCGACCTGGGAGTGAGACTCCTTGCTCTCTATCTCTGGCCTATGAGGTTCTGAGCTTCCAGAGCCCGAGATGACCAGGATGGCAGCTGGGAGAGGCACAGAGCCACTGCTGAGTGGTGACTCTACTCACAAATCGCCAATGTACACCACTGTCCCCAGTGACTTCTAGTGCTTTGTGGAGGCCACATACTCCCCCTTCCATGTTTCCAGAAGTCAACCAAAGAATATAAAAGAGGGATATACTAAGTCCACCAATTTCCTCCTAAATATTTTTAATTCTTTAGTTACAATGTAATTTACAGACCAAAATAATGCGAAGCATAGATCTTAATTATTTAAGTCAAAGACCTTCGTTAACTTACACATCACTCTAACTAGCACCCTATACAAGATAGAGAGTATTTCCCATCACCTAGAAATTCCCCTCAAACCCCTTTCCAGCCAGTTACAAAAACCACCGTATGACCTTTTTCTAACTTCCATGGGCAGAGACCAGTTTTGCGTGTTCCTGGGCGTATGTGAGGGGGTCACGTGGGCCTGGGTGTCTGGCTTCCCTCACTCAGCGCAGTGTCTGTGGGACTCCTCTGTGCTGCCCTGTGCTTGGACAGTCCACTCTTTTTTATTGCCCAGTAGGGTCCACTGTATGACTGTTTATCGATCCACCTGTGGATGAGCATCTGTTTCTAGTTTTGGGCTGTTAATGAGTAAGACTACTCTGGACATCAGTGTGAAAGTCTGAGAATCTCCTCAAAATGTTTGCAAATCCATCAAATTATATGTTTTGATCCTTCTGCTAGATTTATATAGGGGTAAGAGATTCAAAGCTTTTCTATTTAGCAGCAGAAGGCATTTTTAGGACTGCTGTTTTATATTTTGTCCATTCTGAACAAAAACCAATACCGAGAACAGCGACCAGCATGCTGCTGCTCCAGAGTCCGACCCTGTCCCCCACCATGTTTCTGTAAGTGACATTTTACTAAAAACCAGTTGTGCTCATCCCTTTACACGTTGCCCACAGCTGCTTCTGCACTTCCAAGGCAGAGCTGGGTAGCAGCCACAGAAGCCACATGGCCTGTGAAGTCTGATTTTTTTTTATTTATTTGGCCCTTAACAAAAACACTTGCTGGAACAACGAATCATAAGCCCGGTTTGCAGTGTGCAGGTTTCTACGTTCCGTAAGTACAGTAAGGTCCTATTTTTGGAACAGATGATTTCTCTACCAGCTCAACTCAGCTAAAAATCCACTGAGATAACAAATAACAAGTGCTGAATTAAGGAGAAAATAAGTAATATTTCCAATAAAAATCTGACAAAGCTTTTCCACGATGCAGAGGGCAACAAGTGGACTGGCCCCTATGAAACACACCACCTTACCTTGTCATCTTCAAGATATTCGATGTCTGCAGTGTTATAGCCGTCTCGGTGACGGTGGCTTAGGACTCTGAACCGACTGATGCCAATTGCATCTACCACCGAACTTCCATCAGGGAAAGTTCTGACGTCCTTAATCTCCAGCATGCAGCCATACTGGGATATCCTGAATGAACAAGTAGGAGAAATGAGCAAGAAGCCTCTCTTTTTCCCAGGATGAGAATTTGGGCTTTAAAAGGAATATAAAGCCAAACAAAACAAATGAGGTCTCTGCATCAGACTCGCAAGGCTATTATTTCTAAGAGACACCTGCAAGTGATGGCGCCTGTGAAATCCTAACCATACCTGCACAGGGCCAGCAGAGGAAGGGCTCCAGGAGAGAGCGGACTTGTGCCTCAGCCGTCCAAACAAGCTAGCATTTCGGGCAGGATGAGACATTTGGGAAGAGGCAGAATCAGCCCCCTTGGCAGGCAGTGTCAGGAGAGCAGGACAGCCAGGCCTAAGTATCACACCTGGACTCTGCTCCATGCCCAGAGTGCCACAGGAACCATTCCATAGCCACTGCCCTCATCTCCTGTCTCCTCTCCACTCCTCCATCCCTTAGCCTTGCTTTCCGATAACTCCAGCAGAAGTCGCAGGTGCCCTCCAAACTACTAAAATCTCAGCAGTGGCTCCTGTATGGCCTCTCTAAGCCATGAGCCTGCTGACCTGTCACCAAACCAATGCCTCTGCTACTCTCTTGTGGTGGCAGCCTGGCTCCATCTATTCTCTCCCCAGAGCTCTCCTAACTGTAACTGTCATCAGTATCCTAGTGATACTCTCTCACTTCCCATGTGCCAAACACTACACAGAGCAGTGTATGATTCATACTCATTCAAGCCTCACAAAAACATGGAGGTTCAGAGGAATTAAACTAAGTCACAGTCAAGATTTACAGCTGAAATCTGAACCTAGTCTGATTCCAACATCGTTAGAGTAGACAACTTCACTAACTCTCCCAAACTAAAGAGGAGGGGTGATTCCCAAGTTACAGGTATGTGTGTAACTTGTACTGACTGCTGAATGGCTCTCAGATATTTAATAAAACCCTCTCCCCCTGGTTTTCTAACGGGATGATCTCATGGACAGCATGGTGTACCTGGAGGCTCCCTGAAGAGCTCCCTTCAAAGGAAGACTTGCCCTGCTATCACAGGTGGCAAATAAATGGCAGCTTCTCGATGTCTGTCCGGCTATGGAGGTTATCTCACCAAGGAACATTTCCTCATGTCTGTGGACAAGAACCTGGGGGCGGTGCACACTCCCCTTGTACCTGTGGCTCCCGGGGAATCTGTACTCTGATGCTGGCTCACACAAGGTCATTAACAATTTGGTTATTATTATGACTTTTTAATAAGCCGAATTCTTCCTACACACTAATCCACCTCCCCCTCGGTTCTGTCTACGCTCCCTGGAGGGACTCATCTTTTCTTGGTTACACTGAGCAACTTCTGCTCTCTGATGCATCCCCTGAAGGTATATATGTTCTGTATAGGTTATCTGGTTTTTCTTATTCTTTGGGTGGGAATAACATTCTTTTTAGTGTTTTATAATTTTGGTAGAAGTGAAATGCCTCCTTTTCTGAACAAGAAGTGGCTTGTTTATTCACATGGCTTTCGCTGACTTTTGCTGAATCAAATTTTATTATATCCTATTATCTCTGTTATGTATTCTGAGCATCTAGTATATATGAAAACATCTTCCCCATTCTCAATTATATAGTCCCCAATATTTCCTTTTAAATGTAATTATATTTTATTTTTCACATTTCACATTTGGGATGTATTATTTTTTGTATATAAGATAGAGAAAAGATTTTTTCCCCCACTAATTTTATGGCCATCTTTTGTAGAATAGTTTGTTCTCTCTCACAAAAATTATACATAAATACAGAGCCCACATGTCAGGGGATCTGTTTCTGACCTCTCTATTCTGTTTCACTGGTTGACTCACTATGGCTTGTAAGTCTGATGTTACAGGGAATGTTTCTCAACCAGGTGGTTCTCAAATCAGCTCAGCTGGTTTCTTCAAAACTACCTACCTGTTCTTGTTGTTTTGTTTTCCCACACTGATTCTAAAATCAGCCAGAGCACCTCAGTGAAAAAGCCCTCTGGGAGTGCTGACTGGAATTGAACCTACTTTGATTCTGTAAACTAACTTGGGTAGATACGGCAGCTCTACACATTGAGTCTTTGCATCCATGAACAAGGCCTTTCCCTCCACTTAGGTAAGACTTCTTGAATTTCTTTCAATAAAGTTTTAGACTTTTCTCCATAAATGTTCTACACGTACCTATATCTATATCTATATCTATCTATCTATATATATATATTTATTTTTTTTGGACACAGAGTCTCAAACCGTCACCCTAGGTAAAGCACTCTGGCATCACAGCTCACAGCAACCTCTAACTCCTGGGCTTAAGCGATTCTCTTGCTTCAGCCTCCCAAGTAGCTGAGACTACAGGCACCTGCCACAATGCCTGGCTAGTTTTTGGTTACAGTTTTGTCACTGTTGTTTACCAGGCCTGGGCCAGGTTCGAACCTGCCACCCTTGGTGTATGTGGCTAGCACCCTGCCAACTGAGCTACGGGCACCGCCCTACACATGTATTTTTAAAAAGATTTATTCCTAGGTATTTGTGATGAAAACTGCTGGATGGCCCTAAAACCCCATTCTTCCTGGGTATTTGATTGGACTACCTTTTCCAGCCTCCCCTGCAGCAGGTGTGAGCAGAAGGGGGGGTGGCCTCTTTTCTCTAGAGTCCTTCAAGAGCATGTGCGTCTCTTCTTCTTCTTTTTTTTTTTTATCTTTTTGCAGTTTTTGGCCAGGGCCAGGTTTGAACCCACCACCTCTTACATGGATGAGGCCAGCACCCTACTCCTATGAGCCACAGGTGCTGTCCCACATGTGTCTCTTCTATAAGCCAGAACTTGGAGGTAGTGACCTCATCATGACTATGGATGGCTGAAAAAGCTATAAGGGAGAGAAAGGGTCCAGAGTCCCCAAATCAGCAGCACAAAGGGGGAGTTTCCTCCTGACTTGCAACACCCTCCTTTGACAAATGATGAGGTTAAAACCAAGAGCAGTGGGTATCCATGAGATTGCAAGTTTATAGCTGTGGAGACAGAGAAGTGTGGAGATGTGGCAATTTCTCTACAACTTACAAGTTGGGCCAGATTTGTTTGTGTATAGATAGGCTTAAAGAGGGAAGCATGGGGACATGGGTGTATAAATTGTCAATGGCGAAGGTCAAGTGATGGGGCTGTACTCCAAGTACAATGTTGGAAAGAAAGGCACAGATGAAGCTAGACACAAAGGATGGGCTCACACTGTCACATAATGCGAACCCCTGGAGATTTTCAAGCATTATCCTACATTGTTCTGCAAGAAAAAATCACAAATTATGCCCTTAATTAGAACCCACTGAGTGCTGATAATCCTTACCCTGCATGCTCAACAGATAAACACATGCCAAACCGCTTGGTGCCAGTCTCCATGCATCTTCTTATCATAAGCCGGTAGCGGGGCTCAAAGACGTGGAGTGGACACGGGACGGTGGGGAAGGCCATGGCACACACAAAGATGGGGACATCTCTGGTCAGACTGCAGGGCAAGGGGAGATGTTAACTTAGATGCACAAGCTGGAGAGAGTACCGGCACTAAAACAGCAAAAGCTAGAAAACCTCTCATCTCTCATCTACAGAGCAAAACCCTGGGGCCTGGCTCAATGGGCCTGGAGCAGGAACAGAAAGCCAAGGGCCACAGCACGAGAAAATTCTCTGCTCACCCACGTTCCCTGCCAAATCTGTCTTATTTAACTTGATGAAACAGAGTATGCTGAATTATATTACTTTGCTTAGAAAAGTTACGGCTTTTGACTAGTCTTTAAAAAAAACGATAAAAGCAAAAACTACACAGTTGTCAAAGGGAGTGAGCTTCAAATAGAAGAGCAGAAGGGCGTTAAGACTTGTACTAAAACACATTTTTTTTTTTGTTGTTAACAAATAGGAATAGAAGGATTTCCTCTGCCGTTCTGATAATCCAAGATCATCCATTAGCAAGATCAAAGATTACTCCTGGTTAATTAATTTTAAATGTTTAGACACATGCGACATGCCTGGTGAATTCTACTTTTCCTCCTGCCCCAGTGTCAGACTAATAGTCATGCAAGTGTTCATGGGTCAGAACGTAGACAAAGCCTCTGTTCTCTCTGCCACCTAATGGCCCAAAGGGGGCATAGCAGCCATACCTGCAATGTCTCTGGGGGGTGGGGGAGGTGGGGGTGGGGGCAGCATAAAACACAAAATCTTAACAAGTAAAAAAAATGAAAAACTGCCAAGTCTGTTGTGAGTCATTCCGGGGTACTGTCTCCGGATCTGTATACTTTGCCTGTTCAATCCTGAAAAATTCAGTCTTGCTTATTTTGACACGAAAGGCAACTACCTACTTTTGCTAAAACCCAATTTAAAAATATTTCTTATAACTTCCTGCAATTGTATTCCCACAAATATTTTGGAATTAGAATCTTTCCCTTTATAGACCAAGAAATTTCTCTGCCACACACACAAAAAATCTGAGGGAAACCTGAGGTTAAAGACGACTTTCTTCTTTAATCTGAATTTTAGGCCAAGTACACATACAGCATAAGCACTTACTTTGACAGCTCCGTCATTTCTTCATCATAAATTCTCTTCCTATCAGACAATTCGTCTGACAAGTATCGAAATATTAATTCTTCGGCCAGAATGGTAATATTAAAATTTCTGCTTGCCAACAACTGCAACAACAAAAAAAAGATCAAATGATACCAGATGGTGATTAATTCTAAAGGACCAGCTTCCTAGTGAGATGAGGGTGGGATCTCTGAGAAGGTCAGAGGAAATGGGCGGGTCCTGTGTCATGGATAGGGTCTGCTCCACCATTGTGAGAAAGGGAGGGGAGGCGCCTCCAATCCTGCTGGCACCTATTATCTTCAACCAAGTATCACAGTGTCAGTGAGGGGAGAGGAAGGGGAATAGGATATGTGGGGAGAGAAGAGAAATATGAAGTGATCCATCTGCAGAGTGAAGACTGGGCTGTGTGTGTACATGAGGGAGAATGTGCACACTGCATGGTTCTACTGCAGGCATACAAATTAGCAAATAATACCTCTTTTTCATTGACATTCTGATATATGGCAGGTACCATGGCAGGTGCTTCACAGAAATTAGATTAGGTTAGGGGTGTATAGGCACTCTGTGCACTGCACTAACAAAGCAGGGTCTCAGGAAGGCTCCTAGGCCCGGCAGGCTTCTACACTTAGCCCTTCCTTTGGAAACTTGCTGCATTTCTGCACTAGGGAAGGCTTCACATACCTCTAACACTCTATGCCTCAGAGATTCCCAGACACCCTGCAGGGCTCCCTCTTGCTAGTGGGTAACCACCTGAATGTACTGCTCTGGCTGAGAACTGGGAGTTCAACTCTCAGAAATGACAATGTTTGAGAACCATTGTTAACAGGTTAACCGGTAGAAACAAGCTTAATTTAATTCACAAAACTGCCTCATAATTGTCCTTATTAATGACATAGGTTATTTTATACACAGCTAGTTGATAATACCCTTTTACTCGAGAGAAATCCAATTCAATTTGCTTTACTTGGCATTCTGCTAACCAAGCTGCTGCAGACATGTGTAATTGATGGTTCACGTTTACAGTGAGGTGCAAAGAAGTATAAGTTCACGAAGTGACAGATACACTGAAGAGAGATAAAATGATGATTCAGTTCATTTTATTATATCCTTATTTCTAGAACACTGGCAATCCAAGAATAGCTTGCATGTAATCACTCACTCAACGAGGACTTCTAGAGTCTCTAGTACAGTGACTTTCAACCTGTGTGCTGTGAAAATTTTTAAAGAGTATTAATTATTTTCAAAAGAAGTTCAAAGCCCAGTAAGTATATTCTTTTTTTTTTCACTCTTTTGTTTGGATCAACATCACTGAAGCGTGCCGTGAAATTTAACTATAGGTTTCAGTGTGCCTCGAGACAAAAAAGGTTGAAAAACACTACTCTAGTGTGTGTTCTGGTCCCTGGAAATCCGTGAAAACACATCTGTGCAGGTTCCATCCTTAGGAGCTTATATTTTAGTGCTGACCTCCAGCTTCTGCTGCTATCTATACATGGCCTGCAAGGCAGCACTGAAACAGCAGTGAGTAAAACCTCTGTATTAGAAACAGTGCCCATAAAGACTTGCATTTTACTCCTATCACAACAGGCAAGCCATCACCAGGCTCTCTGGCCCAGCCTGCAGGGACTGGTAAGGCAGGGGACCACGTGTTTCTGTTAACAAGAAGGGACACCAAACACCAGGGGGAGGACTGAACAGAAACCACCAAAGGAAAACTGCTGTGTAGACTCAAAACACCTCCACCACCACGACACACAGCACATAGTATAGCAATTAATACTCATAAGGGAACCCTGAAGAATTTAGAAAGACTCTGCATGCATGCAACTTATTAAAGCAAGTACACACACATAATGTGTTACAATGGCTACAATTGTAACATTTTAATAAGTTTTAGCAGTACATGGAAAAGTTACAATTATTTAAAAATTCACCTAATTTATGATATCTCCTCTTACCACGTGAGATTGAAAAATGAATTTTACTATACAGAAGTAAAAAGCAAAAACTTTATCCCATGTAAAATGCATTCAGTGAGTTTACTCTCTGGGAAGTAATCAAGGCAAGTATTATTGGCCTAATTTTATGAATGAAAAACACTTGCAAGACATCCAATACCCTGTTCCATGGAAAGCTGTGGGCACCAATGGGCTGAGAGCCACTACAGTGATACAGACTTGCTACCTGCAAAGCTGATCAGAGGCCTTCTGCTCGCAAACACTGCTCACTGTATTCAGCATACCTAATGTAAATAAATTGAACAGTTTGTATTTGGGCTAAAGATCATTAAATAGCTTTCCCATGGAACCTAAGTTCTACTGGTTTTGATTTCAGACCAAAGATAGTAACACCTGATCACGGGGAAGGGCCATGAAGGGACTCAGAAATGATGGAGAGTTCAATCCTACACAAAACTCCGGAGATGAGGTAAGGAGGGAATTCCTGGCACGTATTAAGGGTGCCATGTTATTCCAACCTTTTGTGATAGATACTGTAAAGGCTTAGTAATGTTAGCTATTTTCAGTCTGTCTCAACTATAATTCATGCTTGATAATCTCCTTGAAATTCAAATATTTCTGTATCTGAACCTTCCTTGTGTATTTTTTTTTTTTTTTTTAATGAATCAAAGAGATGGGAAAAGACTCATCTTTGGAGAAATCTTACTTCCTTTTACAAACAGGTGCAGAAGCAAAGCAAAACACGGATGGGCACTGCCCAAGGGCCGAGAAGAGGCGCCGTCTTGTTTCACAAAATGTACTCACCTCTGAAAGTTTATCTTTGCACAAGGGACAATGTGGGGCGTGATCAAGGCAGCGTTCAAGGCATTTTAGGCAAAATGTATGTCCACATGGTGTCGTGACAGGCTCAAAGAGCAACCTGGAAAAAACCAAATCTGGGTTTTCAGCAAGAAATGTCCAGAAGAGACTTTCAAATCTTCTATTTGTTAAAAGGATCTTTAGGCAATTCTTGTAACTATTCTAAAAATCACTTGCATCCATCTCTATTTTATATCTTTTTAATCAAATATTTAGAAAATAAATTGATTATTACTGAGGTACACGTAATTTCCCTGACAATAAAAAGCCCATAATGTTTAGGTATGAATTTGAAAAAGGCTGAACTTTGAAAGCAGCTGCACAGTGTCTGCACCATCCTACCTCATGCAGAGGGCACACTCGAAGTCAGTTACATCGATGGAGAGGCCTTGGCCCTCTTCTGTCTCAGAGTTCAAGTTCCCTTGGGCTGAGCCGTCTGGATCTGAAAAGGTTAGAAATGCTATACTTAGCACCTGAACATCTGAATAATGGCACACAAGAAATGTACTTCCTCCAGACGAAATGTGTACAAATCATGCTGGGAAGGAGTATTTCCTGTCCAGTTAACAGTATACCACAATAATGTCTCTAGATGGTAAGCATGAACAAAGTTAAAATTATACCCAAATCTTCTCTACTCTTTTTGACTCTGAAGTCCTTGCAGTATTGACCATCTAACAGGTTCTATAATCTTCAAGCTGATGTGTTCACCTCATTACAAATTTTAAACAGTGTAAACTTTTTAAAAACATAATGAATACAGGCTAACCTTCTATTGCTCTGGAGCCACAGATAAATGCATGATAAAACAGGTCACTGACCTTTTTTGGGAATTTTTCCAGGGGTGTTCAGGTCACAGGCCTCCTCTGTATCATGTGGAAACTGTCTCTTCAAACCGGAGCTGGGTGGTACTGGAAGGATACTTTCTAATGTTTTCTTATCCTCTTCAAAGTGTAGACCCAGTATGAAATACAAAACTGAGGAATTGGCATTCCTAAAGACATCAGATTTCTCAGATGGATCCTAGTTAAGTTGGAAAAAAGAATAGTGAATATTAAAGAGACCGTGGCATAAGAGAAAGAAATTATGCAATACACTCTCGTAGAAATCTTTGGGGAAAAAAGAGGGTTTATACTCTTCCTTCATAATTGGTTTCATCTATTAAATTCTAAGATGAGTCTTTTTCACAGGTAAATACAGGATAACTTCTTCCTAAACCAGAGCAAATGAGCACCAACCTTCATGCGCAGGATTACATATCTATGCAGACAAACATACACATAAAATTACACGTCATACAGACAAATCATCTCTCTGCTTTCTTTCCTCCAAGTCAAAAATAATTTCAGGCCTCCTGATGTTTGGGTTGTTTGGAGATATTCTAAAGTTCCTTTTAATCTTTGGTAATTTTCATTCCTTCTATTATCTTCATTTAAAAGTTTCAACTCTCAGGTTAAGGAGCTACTGCTGTTCTTGGGAAATCCATCTCACTAGCATAATGCCACAGTGTTTGAATAACTTGAAAATACAGCAAAACCTCTGTAAGTTGACCACCCACGGGACTGTAACAAACTGGTCAATATATGGAGGGTGGTAACATAAGAAACTTCCACTGAATACATGCAGTGCATATCCAGTCTATGAAAATTAGGTCAACTTAAGAAGTTACCCAAGGCAGGAAGGTGGTCAACTGTGAAGGTTCCACTGTATCTAAAATGAAGCAATCACATAAGACCTGATCAAGAGAATGCCTCTGAACACCTGCATGTCATACCTCAGAGCTCCCCGCATCCCCTCCTCCGTCTAGGGTCGCCGGGGTGTTTATGTGGCTCTGACATTGAGCCTTGAATTTGCTTTGGATGGAAGATGTTAAATTTTGTTGCGCATTTTCTGAAGCTGGAAAAAACACTTCACACATTACCTGTAAAATTGCCAAGAAAAGAACAAATTTTAAGCACTTTTGGAAAAATATATAATAGACCTTAAAGATTCAGAGAAAACCAAGGGGCCAAGCAGGCCTGAAATGTTGAGAAGAATAATTACTGTTATGTTAGTATATTATTCCACTGCCAACCTTTTAAAACTCAAACTTTTTCGAATTCAAACTTGGAAGTTTTTGAAACTTTTAATCCCTTTCCTTGTTAGTCTTATTAACGACAAAAGATCAGCACAACAATTTCTTTCTCTCTGGTCCTTATACATCTGCTTTGTAAAATGTCCCCTTATCTTTCTCTCACAGATAAGAGAGAAAAAAGGGGTATAGAAGTTGCAGGGGATCCGAAATTAAATCTAAGCTGTGATCACTCATGGGACTGCGATCTCTCTAGAGCAGTGCTCTATTTGTAAGAGAACCAGAAGAGCCACCTAGGAAAGAACTTCAAAGGAAGGGAAGGTGCAGGGTCATAATTCTAGCAAGAACGATGGACCAGCACTGGGGGCAGGGGACAGCAATTGCTAATAGGCATTTTAGCTGTCACTCAAACCGTCATGCCAAACCTTATGGCTTTAGCTGAAACCAAAGCTTACAGGAAGCAAAAGGGAGTAACTGAAACCTAAACAAAGACTCCTTCCTCCTCCTAATGTTCTTATGGCTCAAGGTAGAATCCCTGATACTGTAGCAACAAGTATCAGCATCCTGCTAGAGACATCTCAGCACTGGCTCTGGGTAGCTCAGCAGAGCTGCTGCGGATGGTACCACAGTTCATGGGCATCCACAGGTTAATGCTGTTAGTGCAGTTGTCTGTAATGAAAGCTATCTGGCAGTCAGTCTGCGAGAGGGGAAAACACCCTGTCTGCAAAAGCACCAGACAGAGAAGCATCCGTAAGACATAAATTCCCGTCCTGCAATCTCTGAGAAAGTGCTTAACCTCTCTGAGGTTGGGCTTTCTCATGATGCTGTTGTAAGGATTAGCTGCAACCAGACACACCAAGATTCTTACTAAGTCTGCAGGGGGGGGACAAAGCAGAGATAGTGGAAATGGCAGACTGAAGTTCACTATCAGTTTGACAAGTGGGAATGACAGGACCAACAAACATCATTCAACTGCTAAAGAAAAAGGTGAAAATATTGCTAGAAAGTTATTATTTTTTTAAAAAGACCTAGTTATTTTGGCTAACTACGTTTCGAAGGGGCACCAACGGTGTATTAGGATTAGGCTAAAAATAAACATGCCTCCTACGTGAACACAAGGGAAGTTCACCACCTGGAGCTGCCAGGCATTGACATTTGGGGTACACTAGAACGCGCTCAGAGGGAACCCTAGAGACCCTTCTTCCATGGGAACAGGTTGTTTAGCCCCAAGAATTACGTAGGCAATAATAATAGCTGTTCTCAAATATCTGAAGGGAGGAAGAACTGTGGGAGGAAGAACTGATTCATTTCCTGCTGATTCAGAAAATAAAACTAGAACCGTTCTGTAAAAATTACAGGGTAAGCGCACGGTAGAAGATGACAATGAATCATGTTAAAACAGGGAAACACTGACATCAAAACAAAAAGTCCTGGTCATTGGGAGCGCTAAGTAAATATCAAGTAACTGTCATACAGGTCTTTTTATAGGATTCCTACGTTCAGCATGACTAAACCATGAGTAAAGCGTGAGTAAAAGAGCAGATATTTCTGCACCATCCTGGCGAAACTTTGCTGAAACTTACAGATCAACCTATAGAGCTGAAATGATGTATTTTACAGATATCACAATGTCTTTTACGGACATTCAACTATAATACTTCAAATTGTAAACTCTAGGAAAAACCACTCTGCCTCCACTAATATGTGTCCTTATAGAAACAAAACTGAGGCATGTTTATGCTGTCTCATGAAACATTCTGCTTCATCCATGGACAAAAATAATAGCCGTGGATGAACCAGAAGTGGATGAACCTGATCATTTTTACTACATGTTTTGAAGCACGCTGTCATGAGCATTTGGAATTACATTTTTTATTTTACCTACAAAGGTTACTCAGCATGAACACGAAGGCTACAAATGAGACTGGAAGGAGAAAGTCATTTTTCTTTTTGAGACAGAGCCTCAAGCTGTTGCTCTGGGTAGAGTGCTGCAGCATCACAGCTCACAGCAACCTCTAACTCCTGGGCTCAAGTGAGTCTCCTGCCTCCGCCTCCCAAGTAGCTGGGACCACAGGTGCCTGCCACTATGCCTGGCTATTTTTGGTTGCAGCTTTTGTTTGGCGGGCCCGGGCTAGATTCAAACCCGCCAACTCAGGTGTATGTGGCTGGCGCCTTAGCGGCTTGAGCCACAGGTGCCGAGCCCTGAGAAAGTGATTTAATGGAACTCGTACCTTCTGTGTTTCTTTCTTCGCAGCGTGACACTCAGGATTTAAAGCAAGGCAGTAGAGAAATTCCTTCAACACTTCCTTACTTCTTCCCAATCCAGACAGAGCCTGAGCTTTTACGTGATGCCCCTTGATTCATCAAAAGACAAAGTATGCATTAAAAAAACCCGAGCATGGTTATATACTTGAATATAAACAGCCTGAAAAAAAAATCTATGGAACCAATTGTTTATTTCATACTTAGGCAGAATAAACAAACTTTACCAAGGATGACTCTAGGTCTACAACATCTCCCCCTGCCTTGGAAACTTAGCAAACTTCAATCAGAGTCTGGTAAATACCATCTAGGATCAGGACCAGGGGTCATCATACCTGGAATTTGCTTTCAAAGCGGTTGTAAGGAGCATGCTAAGAGAGAACTGGCTACCAACTTCAAATTCACTCAGTAATTACAGGTCACGCCCCTGTCCCTGCCTTCAAGGCCTTTATGGTCTCTTGAGGGTAGACATAGCTAGAAAGAACTATTAATACCAAGGTAATATAATAAGTGACACAACAGAAATGAACAAAACACAATATAAATCAGCATTTCCCATAGCATGCTCCTTTTGCCTTATGAATGAAATATTTTCTCAAATCAGTGAAGAAAATACTATTCTTTGTTTTTATAAAATGGTCCATGTGTTGCATTTCCACTGCGGTTGGTTGCTCTAATCCAGTATTTTTTGACTTTTTTAATCCCATGCCACACTTGAACCTATCATTAAACTTTTGTGGCACACTTAAATTATGTTGATCAAAAAAGAGTAAAAAAATTTACTTACTGTGCTTTGAACTTGTTCTGAAAATAGTTTAATTCATGATCTTTAAAAATTTCCATGGCATACCTAAGATCTGCTCATGGCAGAACAGTTGAGAATCGTTGCTCTAATCATTTAGTCTTTCTCTACAGATGATTTAAAGTTTGTAGGAGGATATAGCTAGGTTATATGTAAATACTATACTAGACTTTTTATATGAATGACTGAGCATCTTCAGATTCGGTTCTCTATAGGGGGTCTGAAAGCTGATGCCAGGGATGACTGTAATTTTATGTTACACACCTTACACTACTTGTGTTGCCCTTCACACATTCCTGTGTATTTGGGTTATCATCTATTGCCATTTCCTTCAAACGTGAAAAATTCCTTTAGCATTTATTGTAGTGCACATCTGCTGGTAACAACTATTTCTGTTTCCTGCACATGTCTTATCTTTAGTTTCATTGTTTAGGATACTTTACTAGATATAGAATTCTTTTTTTTTTTTTTTCTTGAGACAGAGCCTTAAGCTGTCGCCCTGGGTAGAGTGCCATAGCATCACAGCTCATGGCAACCTCCAACTCCTGGGTTTAAGTGATTCTTTTGCCTCAGTCTCCCAAGTAACTGGGACTATAGACGCCCACCACGACACCCAGCTAGTTTGGGGTTGTAGTTGTCATTGTTGTTTGGCAGACCCAGACTGGATTCAAACCTGGCAGCTCCAGTGTACGTGGCTGGCCCTTTAGCTGCTAGAGCTACAGGCACCGTGCCATAGATATAGAATTCTTAGTTAAAAGACTTTCTCTTAGCACTCTAAATATGCTATTCCAACATCAATTGGCTTTCACAGTTTCTGATGAGATGTCAGCTGTAAATCTTATTATTTCCCTGTATGCTATTTTCTCATTTTGTGTCATTTTTCTCTTGCTGCTTTCAAGATGTTCTATCTCTGGCTTATAGAACAACAGCTTGATTCCGATTTGCGTTTATCTTGCTTGGAGTTTGCTAATCTTCTTGGGTCTGAAATTAATGTTTCCTACTAAATTTGGAAAGTTTTCAGCCATTATTCTTGTAATTTCCTCTCTTCCTCTGGGATTACAGTTGCACATATATCGTGCCACTTCATATTGTTCCATAGTCTTCTGAGATTCTTTTCAATTTTCTTTAATCTTTTTTTTCCCGCTTTCTACTTCTATGGATTGAGTATTTTCTTCTTCAATTTCAGAGATTCTTTTGCCATGTATAATGTGTTATTGAGCCTATATAGACAATTTTTATTTCAGAATTTGTAATTTTCATTTCTAGAATTTCCATTTTTTATAGTTATAATTTCCCTTTTGAGATTATTGTTAAGACACCATATCCCTTAAGTTCTTTGGATATAATTTAACTCTTTGAACTTATTTATAGTAGGTGCTTCAAAGATCTTTTTGTAATAAATACTATGTCTAGACCTACCTGGAGACAATGTTTATTGATTGTCTTTTATTCTGAGGATCAGTGCTTTTCTGTTTCTTTATATGTCTGCTATTTCTGGTCAAAACTAGCCATTGTAAAAATATGTTGCATAAACTCTTTTTTTTTGTTGTTGTTGTTGTTGTGTTCTTCTGAGGCTTACTGGAATTTTAATAGGCAGTTACCTTTCCTGCATTTAACTGTGGCCTGTATTTCTTCCATGGTATGGAGCTGCTTGCATGTCTATTCTGTTCGTTTGTCTTTCCATCACTTCTTTTTTAAGCCTCATGGTTCTCCCCTATGCCTGTGAAATTTAGCAATAAGCCAGGATTTGTCCAGAGCTGAGAATCACCCACTCTGAAATTTCCCTGCTTTTAGAGATTCCCCTCATTTCTAACTGTTCTCAGATTTGGGTTCTGTACACCTCACGCTTTCTGCTGCCTGAGAGGTGCAATACTGAGAACTGCAGTCTGTTAAGGAAGGTAGAGCTCACAGATATGGGTCCCTGTCACTCCAGCTTTTAGGATAAATTTCTACCTGTTCCCTGCCACATTTCTCTCTCTCTCTCTCTCCTATGCCTTCTGCATCTCTCACATGTACAATTTATTGTGAATCAGGAATTTATGTGTTACCCTCTCCATGTCCCTTTTTCTCTGTGCCACCAAGCATTTCCAGCCAGACGCTTTACCAGCCCTGAACTCAGAATTCTTGTACGTTTAGGTGGAAATGCTATTCTTCACATTGCTGTTTTTTAGTAGCTGCAGCTGTGGAGACAGGCAGCACTCTTAAAAGCTACAAAATCACCATTCTTGTCCCTTTCATGTGCAGGTTTTTGAAATTACTCTCCTCCAGCTTCTGTCAGTTTTAATGCTTTATTTTTTCTTTTTAAATCTAGTGTTTATAACTGTTTTCTTCTCTGGGTTTACACGACTGCTACACTCCTCCGTTACCAGAAATAACCCCCCATTACTGTTATTTTAATTGGGTCCCTTAGGAAGGAAAACAGCAGTATGTGCGCTTCACTTGTTATCTTTTAATCACCTATGTCTCTTACCCTTATCTCTTTATTAAAAATGCCCCAACACACTAGAAGTCGCTAAGAGCCTTCTTTCTCTGCTAACACCACGAGTGTGCTGACGGTGACCAGTCTTCATCTCAGGACCAGCGTATTTCCTAACATTTGTTACCTGTCCATTCATCACATCACGTCCAGCTCTCTGGGAGAGCAGCTATTTGAAAAGACATGACAAATATTTTAGACAACAGATCCCCAGTTTCGTCTCTGAGTTCCCTGAAAAGCCTCGTGTACACTTCAGGCCATCTGTGATTCAGCGATGGGACTCTTTAGGTTTGTGACGACTATGTGAAGTTTTACTAATTTTCTCCTTCTCCTTTCATAAGAGGGTATCCAGTTTTTATAGAGCCCGAATCTTACACAATTTGAAGGTACTTTCTAAAAAAGGTATAAAACTACAAATACAAAATTGCTAGGGTCCCTCCCAGGCCTCATTCAAGTAAAGGTCCCTGACTCTCAAGATTCAGCAGCTTCTAAATCTGCTCCTTCTGCTTATTAAAAGTTCTGAGAATAATACTTCACATATGCAAATAACTTCACATAAAGTTTTTCACACGTGTTAACAACCTCAGTCTAGATTTGCAATTTTGATACCAGAGGGCATCCCTAAACGTTTATTCACTGAATTAACTAGCTTATAAATACGTTTTTTTGAGA